AAAAAGACAAAAACTGGAGGTTTTGCGTGGATTACAGAGTAGTAAATAAGGAGATCGTGCCAGACAATTTTCCTATACCAGTGATAGATGAGTTGTTGGATGAGTTGAGTGGGGAAGATATCTTCACCAAAATATATTTGAAGTCCGGATACCATCAAATCATGATGAAGGAGGATGTACCCAAGACGTCTTTCAGAACTCATGAAGGGCATTATAAATTTTTAATGATGCCTTTTGGCCTCATTAACGCCTCGGCCACTTTTTAATCCCTCATAAACAAGGTCTTTAGACCTCATCTAAGGAAATTTGTGATGGTGTTCTTTGATGATATCCTGGTTTACAACAAGTCAGAGGAAGAGTACTAGGAGCACTTGAGGAGGGTGTTAAAAGTATTACAGGAGCACCAACTGAGGGCCAACATGAAGAAGTGTTGCTTTTCCTAGACCAATGTGGAGTACTTGGGGCATATTGTATCTAAGGAAGGTGTGGCAGCAGACCAAGCAAATATTAAGGCGACATTGAGGTGGCCAATGCCTAAGAATCTCAAGGATTAAGGGAATTCCTAGGACTAACATGATACTATAGGGGGTTCTTGAAGGGGTACAGCACCATCGGATGGCCACTAACAGAACAGTTGAAGAAGGATGGGTTCCTATGGGGGAAGGCGGATACAGTAGCTTTTGAGAGCTTGAAGAAGGTCGTGACTATTGTACCAGGTTTGGCCCTACCAGACTTCACTCAGGTCTTCATAGTGGAGACAAATGCCTCAGGATATGGATTGGGGGAAGTGCTCTTGCAGAATTATCGACCCATTGCCTATTTCAGCCAGGTGTTTATAATTAAGGCAAGGCTTAAATTAGTTTATGAGAGCGAGTTAATGGTCATTGTATTAGCCATCCAAAAGTGGCAGCCGTGCCTATTAGCTAGGCATTTCATTATCAGGATGGATCAGCGGAGTCTTAAGTACTTATTGGAGTAACGGATGTTAACGAAGGAGTATCAAAGGTGGCTATCCAAACTACTAGAATATGATTTTGAAATCTAGTACAAGACAAAAGTGGAGAACAAGGTGGTAAATGCCCTGTCAAGATATATGGGGGAGGTACAAGCGATATCAATGTCAATCCCACTGATGTTGGATTGGGAGGTCATTAAGGAGGAGAGTGCCTGGGATGAGGAGTTGGGGAAGATTATGGCTGATTTACTGGAGGGGAGTAGCCACACAGGTATTGATTGGAAGGGGTGAGGCTTCTGTACTAGGGAATGTTTGCGATGCCTAGTACATCAGTCCACATTCCACATTTGCTTCAAGAGTTCCATGGGAGCGTGGTTGGGGGTCATTCAAGGGTACAGAAGACTTATAGGAGACTAGCATCAAAATTGTACTAGAAGGGGATACACAAGGATGTGGAGGAAATGTTAGACCGATGTGAGATCTATCAAAAGAACAAGTACATGGACATGTCTCCAGAAGGATTATTACAAACACTAGCTTTGCCATGTCGGGTGTGGGAATAGGTATTTATAGACTTCATAAATGGATTACCTAGATCAGAATGGTTCACAGTGATCTTGGTGGTAGTAGATAGACTGAGCAAGTATGCTCATTTCATTCCTTATGACATCCCTACACAGATGTGATAGTAGCATCAGTTTTTATCTGAGAGGTGGTTAGACTGCATGGAGTACCTGAGTCTATAGTATCTGACACGGATAAGGTGTTCCTTACCCATTTATGGAGGGAGTTATACAGATTACAGGGGACAGTACTAAAGAGGAACACCGCCTACCACCCACGGACAGACGGTCATACAAAGGTGGTTAACAAGAGCTTGGAAACCTACCTACGATGCTTTGTGTCTGAGACACCCAAGTTGTGGGCCAAATGGTTGGCATGGGCAGAGTACTGGTACAACATTTCTTATCATTATGCTTCTCAGATGACTCCATTCAAAGTGCTATAAGGAAGGGATCCATCTCAAATGGTGCATTTTGGACATAGTAGCGCCACAGTTTCTTTAGTGGAGGAGTACACTAGGAAGAGGGACAAAGTGCTGAAAAAATTGAAGAGGCATCTGATGAGAGTTCAGGAAATTATGAGGAAACAAGCATATGGGCATAGGAAGGACATGCAGTTCGAGGTAAGGGAAAGGATGTTCTTGAAACTCTGACCCTACAAGTAGAAAACAGTCGCCAACCGGAGAAACGAGAAGCTAGCCGCAAGATACTTTTGGCCATATGAGGTAGTAGAGAGGACTGCGGCTATGCTGTATCTGCTAAAACTACTACCAACAGCAACTATACATTCGGTATTCCATGTATCCTAGCTGAGGAGGGCAATTGGAGCTCATGCAGCAAGTTTGGAGTTACCAACCTAACAAAGGCTTTAGAGGTAATTTTAGAATCCTTAGAGTTGATGAGGGGTTCATCAAAAAGAAGATAGAGCTAAGGAAATCTTGATCAAATGGAAGAGCCTGCCGGACTATGATGCTACGTGAGAACCTTATGAGAGGATGAAGCATCAGTTTCCCTCCTTTCACTTTGAGGACAAGGTGATTTTTTAGGAATGGGGTATTGTTAGGCCGGTCCAACATGGACCGGTCCAATGCTATAAGAGGCGGACAAAGCAGTCTGCCCCATTGAATTTGTCGCCCAAGGAAGATGGGACCCACTAGCAGAATTAAATAGGAAGGAGGGGTGGGGGGCTAGGGCTAAGGAAGTGGGTTCAATTGCTTTAAATAGGGAAGGAGGATTAGGGTTAGGGTCATGCAAATTATTTGGGGTTGTTCTTGTTCTTATAGTTTTGGTGTCTTGGGCTCTAGCAGCGTCTAGAGATTGGGAGAGAAGGATCCTCCTCTTGAATAGAGGATCAATTGTATCTTGCAATTTCTTTTCTGTAATAAAAGCTATTGTTTTGTTTGCTTTCCATTGGATTTGTTGAGTTTTTGTTGTTTTCGTCAATCTTGTTAGTGTTTACTTGAGTTCTTCAAGTATTTCCTATCATACTACTAAAATTATACTCCACATATTCGATTTTAGATCCACTCAAATGAAAATTTTTAGACTTTAAGATTGACCTCCATAAGTCATGTTTTCCTTCAACTCTCTCTAGTCTTATCAATAAGAAGAATATCATCACCAAAAAGCATACACCAGGGTAAATCCTATTACAAATGTCTAGTAGGAACAGTCATGACTAAAGCAAAAGGATATGGGCTTAAATCTAATCATTGATGTAATCCAACTGAATTAGGAAATGCTTAGTCAAACAACCTTGTGTTCGAACACAAGTAATGGCTCCGGCATCCATGTCCTTAATGACTTGAAACGTGGAGGGTTGCGTTAGATAGTTGATGCCAGCATAATAAATAATCATGACCAGCATGTCTAACAATTGAGAATAAAAAAGTCTATTAAAATAAATATTGATGTATAGGATTCAAAATGATAATTAAGCTTTTTTACTCGAGGTTTATTTTAGCAATACATATATTTCATGTATAACAATAATTAGAAAAAAAAAAACTATTTACATATTTTAAACATGTCATATGGGAAGCTTAATTCAAGATGCTAGGAATTTGAGTGATGGAAATGAAAAAAACAATTAGAGAAATATAGAGAAAATAAGGAGGATCTACATATGATATTTATTGATTTAGAAAAAGCATATGATAAAGTTCCAAGAGAAGTGCTATGGAGAGTTCTTGAAACGAAAGGAGTTAATAATGCTTATATTCAAATGAAAAAAAAAAATTATTTTTGTATATAAATTTTTTTTAACTTCTATATTTTTTGAAATATGTTGTTTAACTTGTAAATTCTTGAACTTCATATAAATAAATTATAAAATATATTGTATCATCATGTCTGTGTCATGTTATATCCATATCCTCATCTCCATATTCATGCTTCTTCCCAAATAAGTGACTGCAAGCAAAAACAAACATCGCTTAAATTTACTTTTAGATCTCAGCTCCAATCACTTCCAGACAATTACATTGAAACAAATTGACTGTTAATCTGGAAAATTTACTGATCTTCTCAATTGAGTTATTCATATTCTGAATCATACTTTTATTCATGATAAGACCTATTATACAAGATTATGAAGGTTCTACTATTTACTAGCATCTGATTGGTGGTATACAAAATTGCCCATTTTAGTTAAATGAATGGACTCTATTGTACTAATCATGGCCCAACATGCTACTGGGTTAGGTCCCTTATCTGAAGTGATTGATTTAGAATGGCTGTTTATCTCAAATCTGAAATCAGTGATAGCATCATAAGTAATAGTATGATAGGAAAAATGAAAGCTATTTACAATTTGTGGTTTGCTTTCTTTTGGATCATTATTTTCCCAACTTCTCTATAGTTCACTTCAGGTTAAATAAATCATTTTGTTGACATGAATTTTGAAGATTCACATTCAAGGTTTTTATAATTGCTTTTTTGTTAATGTTCTGAACTGAGATATGTAATTCAAATTTTAAATTTTGTTTGTTGCTTCTTTTTTAATGCTTTAAACTAAGTCTGTTATAGATGTCCATCTCAGAGGAAAGAAACCATTTTGTTGACGTGAATGTTAGAAAAAAAAAACTTCAAAGTATTGTTTGTTGCTTCTTTTCTGATGTTTTATAACTTAGATATGTAATTAATGTCCATCCCAGAAGAAAGAAACCATTTTGGTGACTTTGATTTTGAAAAATCACATTTAAGATTTTGTTTGTTGCTTTTTCTTTGATGCTTTAAACTAGTATGTATGGCTGATGTCCATCTCAAATAAAAGAAACTATTTTGTTGACATAAATGTTGAAAATTGACATTTAGGGTTTTGTTTGTTGCTTCTTTTTTTATGCTTTAAACTGAGATATGTAATTAACGTCCATATCAGAGGAGAGAAACTATTTTGTTGACACAAATATTGAAAATTCACACTTACAGTTTTGTTTGTTTCTTTTTTTGGTTGATTTAAATTGAGAAATGTGATTGTTTAGGAGGAACGGCATTTTGTAGTCATAAGTGTGGTAACAAGCAGATGCTTTTCGACAATCAAATGGAGAATTCATATCATTATGAGCCTCCCTTTTGGCTTTTGTTGGAAGGCCTGAAGGGGAGATATTTTGCAACCTGATATAAGTGTTTTTTGTTACGGTTAATCTAAATCCCTGACCAGGCTATTATAGAGTACAATTCAGGAGTATGGAGAAAGTCTTTCCTAATTTTTTTGTGGATTTCTGCTCTTGTCTTTCTTTCTTCTTCCTCTTCTTCTCTTTTTAATTTTGTTTCCGATTAAAGAAGACTGTAATCTATTTTGCAGGGAGAGTTTTATTGAGAAGCTTACTGTTGCAGTTTTTGGCTGATGAGCTCATTATTTGAACATTCTAATTCAATGTTCTCTCGTTTTCTAACATTTCAGAGCTCGAAGAGTTTACCTTCGTATTTTCTTTTTGGCTCAACTTTATTTAAGCTTTGTTTGGGACAGCTTCCTTACTGATTTCTAAAGCAGCTTTGTAGTACAAAAATTTCAAGTTCATGTTTTTTTTAACGAAAAAATTGTTTTAAGAAGCAATTAAAAAACCAATTAAAAAACCGTCCCAAACTAAACCGGAGAATTACTGTGTTTTTCATATACCAATGTTATCTTGCTTAATCGTGCAAGCTTATCTAGAAAGAATCATAGAATATAAACTAAATCTATAATATTCATATAACATCACAAACAGATAGCAATCAATTAAAAGAAGACAAAAAAATAAAAGAAAATTGTTCAATTATTCAATTTTCTGACACCACAAGCATATATCAAACTGAGACAAACAGATAGCAAAAACCATGAAAACAGGCTCTAAGTTCTGCTAAATAAGTAGAAGAACTCATTCAAATGAGGAAACTGTCTCCCCTTATGAAACTATACATAACCATATCTCTCGTTGCCCCTTTATTCCAGCAATAGTTTCTCAACAACCCTTCTCTTTGAAATCCTACCTTCTCCAAAACCCTTTGAGACGCCTTATTCCCCTTCTCTACCAAAGCCTCCAATCTCTCCAACTCCTTTATTTCAGACATCGCCGCCTCCGTCGCAATCCTTACCGCCGCTGTCGCCACCCCTTTCCCCCACCACTCTCTTGCTAATACATAGCCTATCTCGCGGCGGCACTGACTGTCTGCCCCGTTGAAAGACTTTAATGACACGGCACCGACTGGCCGGCCATTGACAATAATAGCACGGAACCATGGACTTGTGAGAACATTCTCTTCCATAAACCGTCTAAGATCGTCTTTGCTCGTGTAGGCATCCCAAGTGCAGTTGGCTGCCACGTGCTTATCAGAGGCCCAAACCCAAAAGTCGTCAAGGTCGGAGAGATCAAATCGCCGGAGGCTCACCGGAGCTGCCATTGATGCTGTTGGTGCTTTGCTTTGTTGTTGAGTCTTTGATCTGTTTCATAAAAGATGGGAGTAGGAGAGATGAGATGAGAGATGTGACTTGTTTGAAGTAGTGGCCGGCTTTTTTGACCAGACCAACGGTCAATTATTTGAAAATTTAATTGGATAACGGATGACTAGGCAGGCATGTGCGCAAGTTGAGCTAAGGGACAAATATTTTTTGTCCGGAATGATCATTTACTCTTATTTTTTACTTTTAATCATAGAATAATAAATGAATGATAAATTTTTTATCCGAAATGATCCTTTACTTTTAATCATACAATAAAATCGCAACGTCTGCTAGGGTTTCCGATTGAGGACCTCTGGCCTCCCCCATCTCTTCTTCTCTTGGGAGGATCTCCTTAGGGATGTCCTCCTCCAACTTTTCCCCTCTGCTTCCTTCCCTTAACGCCTCTATGGCCAGCTCTGAAACCCCAAGGGATTGGAAGGTACTCTTAGCTTCACAACCTCTTATGTCGAATGAGTTTACTTCCTCTATTTCTCACTTTCGGACCACAAACGCCATTGCCCACTTCACCTCTGCTCAATTCACTATTGGCTCTACCGAATGGGAACTATCCCTAGTCGGATATTCCATCGGGCGCAGACCATATTACGAAGCCCTTCTCTCTACCATCAAAAAGGCTTGGACTTTGAAAGGATCCCTCTCTCTGTTAACCCTTGATGATGGTTTTTTCCTTTTGAAATTCAAGAACAGAGAAGACTACGACATGGCATGGTCGGGCGGACCATGGTTCTTCTTCAGCAAATCGTTCATCCTCCAAAAATGGACACCGGACTTTGTCCCTGTTCGTGAGGAGTTTCCAACTATTTCGCTCTAGATAAAGATCAAAAACTTCCCTCTTTCTTGCTGGAACCCAGAGAGCATATCCAAAATTGCAAGCTGCGTTGGGATTCCTTTGGCCGTGGACGCCCTCACTGCTGCCAAGACTAGGCTCAGCTTTGCGAGGGTGTGAGTTCAGATAAGTAGCTCATCACCTCTCCCGGATGTTATTTATTATACGGTAGATGAAAAGGTTTTTCCTCTTACTGTGCTCTACGATTGGAAACCATCACCTTGCTCCTTCTGTAAATCTATAATGCACTCACCCAATACATGCCCTCAAAACCCAACCCCGTAGCAGCTAGAAGCCCCTAAAAATTGTGGCTGTAGCACCAGTCGTAGGCCGCGTAATCTAACACCTAGACTCACCATCCCAAAGCCTTCGCCAATATCTACCACCCAAATAGCCTCGACCAGCTCTGAGCCACCTCCTTCTACAGCTCCACTCACTAAAAGCACCTCTCAAACTGTTATACCAAACCTTAATTCTCCATCAGAGGACATTCCTCCTCCTTCCCCATCACCCTCTTCCCCGACAATAACCCATCCTAGTGCTAACTCTCACAAGCCCCCCACCATTACTACTAAAAAAAAAATTGACATCCTCACTACTCAAAATACATCTCAACCAGTCGACCAGAAAATGCCCAGAACCAGTCCCTCTCTTATGGAGGCAATTTAGGGACTTTACCTATTACTAATGTTACTGTCCATGAAACCCTTGAACTGGACAAGCAACCACCTCAAAATAACCAGCCACAAACAAAACCTTCTAGTAGCAAGACTACAAGAGCAAAAACTACCAAAAAGACAACCACCCCAACATCCAAGTCCCAATGAATTGCCCTCCTTTGATTGCCGCTTGGAACACCCGTGGATTTAATAGCCCTGAAAAAGCTCTGTGTTGCAAAAATCTTGTTAGAAATTAAACCTTGGACATTCTGTTCATTTTGGAAGCCAGAATTTCCAAACCTGTTGCTGCTAACCCTTGGTTCCTCTCCACACATTCTATCTTTTCTCATGAAGGTTCTTATGATAACTTTGCCTACTCTACCCCTGGTAGGATTTGGATTAAGTGGAATTCAATGAAGGTGAATTTCAAGACTTTATTCACTTCTAACCAGTTAATTCACTGTTTGGTTTATTCTGGCATTGATGTGGCCTTCTGTGTCTCTGTCATTTATGCTTCCAACTCTTTGGAAGAAAGACAAGCTCTTTGGAAAAATGTTTCTGATCTTGCCAACAACATCTCTATTCCATGGATTGTTTTAGGGGGCTTCAACTGTTGTCGTTTCCCCCATGAGAAAGCTGGTGGTTCTTTCCTCAAAAACAACAAGCTGTCAGATTTTAATAATATGATATTCAACTCTAGCTTGCATGAGCTTTCCTCTCTAGGTCATTACTTCACCTGGTTTAACCAAAGAGCTGATGACCCTATCCATATTAAGCTTGACAAAATGTTGGTTAATGATGCTTGGCTTCAACAATACCGCAACTCTTTTTACAAAGTGGAAGATCCTTTGGTTTCAGACCACTCACCCATTATCTTACACAATGAGTTCACTCAACAAAAGAACCACAGATTCCTTTTTAAAAATTTTTGGGTTTCTAATCCTAAGTTTTGGGACTGCCTCATTACTGTTTTCTCCCAAAAATTCCAAAGCAGCCCTATATGTTCCTTTTACCAAAAACTAAAGACCCTCAAAATTAGCATCAAGAAAAGTGATTGGGCCTCTTCAAATTTTCTGCAGCGTGAAATTGCTGAGTTAGTTAACACCCAAAATTCTTATCTGAGGCAACTCCAAAACCCCCCTCTTAATCCTGAGTATAATTTGGCTTTAAAATGTATCAACCATAAAATTATCGATAATAATTCTGATTGGTCCAATTGGATTTCTCAAAGGGCTAAAGCAAAGTGGTTGACTTGTGGGGAAGATGACCTTAAATTCCTCTACTCCACAACTTCAACTTGATCAAGTCTATTTCTACTCCACAAGGTGTCTTTACCAATCCCGCAGATATCAGTGGTGTTGTTGTTCAACACTTTAAAAACCTTTTTAATACCAAGCATGAGGGTTATGATTTGGGTTGGAATGCTCCTATTCAGCAAATGGTACCCCAAAATCTTGTTCAACAGCTTATCACTCCTATGACTATGGAGGAAATTAAAAACATTTTCTCCTTTCTGAATTCTTCTGCCCCCGGGCCTGACGGGTATACTTTTGAGTTTTACAATTCCTCTTGGAACATTATTGGTAAGCAACTTTGTGAGGCAATTCTATCCTTCTTCTCCACTGGATCCTTACCTAAGCATGTCAAGGCCACGGCTATTGTATTGATTCCTAAGCGACCTCATGCTTGTGATATTCTGGATTACAGACCGATATCTTTATGCAACTCCGTTTATAAAATCATTGCTAAGATTTTAGCAAATAGGATGAAAAAGGTTATGCTTTTTATCACTCATCCTAGTCAGTCTGGATTCATTAAAGATAGAATAATTTCTGACAATATTCTACTTGCTGCTGATCTTCTTAAGGATTTTAATTTGAAAGTCAAGCACAAGTTCTTCTGTGCTAAATTTGATATACACAAAGCTTTTGACACGGTCTCAAGGGAATTTTTGCTAAATAGATTGCTTGCCAAAGGCTTCCCTACAGCCTTTGTTTCTTGGATCAAGGGGTGTATTACCAATGTACACTTCTCCATTTCTATTAATGGGGCTTTGGAAGGTTATTTCAACTCCACTTCAGGTCTTAGACAGGGATGCCCCCTAGCCCCATATCTGTTTTGCATTGTTATGGATTGCCTCTCTAATTATTTTGAAGAAGCTTCTTCTAACAATACCTTCCAAGGAATAACTACTGGTAATGTCTCCGTCTCTCATCTGCTTTATGCTGACGACTTACTGGTATTTGGCAGGGCTTCTCTTGTGATTGCTTAGACTCTCAAAAATCTTCTTGATAAGTTTGCAAATACCACGGGATTACATGTGAACAATACAGAAAGTATAATTCTCTTTTCAAAAAATGTTTTGGAGGCTCAGACCATTTCTGGTCATTTGAATATACCTATATCTACTGTCCTTATTATCTACCTGGGCATTCCTATCTTCTGTAAAAGGCTAAAAACTGTGGAATTTCATCCATTGTTGCAAAAAATTCATTGTTCCCTCGATGGCTGGAAAGCAAAATACCTATCCTCTACGGGGAGATTACAATACCTTAAATATACTACTTGCAACATCCTTGTCTATATGATTCGGGGTGTGAGGATCCCTAAAACTTACTGTAAGGTAATAAATAAAATTTGCTCCAGGTTTTTATGTTTTGGGGACATTTACAAAAGGAAACTACACATGAATTTGTGGAAGGAGATTTGTAAACCTACAAGGTTAGGGGGCTCGGTTTACCTTCTATTGAATCTTTATATCATGCTTTTGGTTGCTCTATAATTTGGAGATTCTATAATGCTGAGAGCTTTCTTTTTTCTTGGTGGAGAGCAAAGCATATATCTTTTTGGTACCATCGCAGCAATCACGCTTCTGCTTATTGGAATTTCCTTTGTGAATTGGCCAAGAAAATTCAAGATTGTTTGAGCTTCAGAATCAAGGATAACTGTGCCTTATCCTTCTATTTGGATCCTTGGTGTTTTGGTAAAACTGTTGCTGAGAGGTTATTTGATTCTCATTCCACTATTAATTTCACTGCCTCCTCACATCTGACTGTGAATAGCTTTTTTATTAACAGCACCTGGAGCTTGCCCCCAGATTTATTTCCCTATCAAATTGATGATATAATAACCTCTATGCTTTATTGTCTAATGGGCGGTAACTATCTTTGGCTTAATTTTGCACCTTCATTGGGCATTACTACTTGAATTTCAATGTTGTTTCTTGGCATGATTTTGTTTGGCACAAACACTATACCTTGTGTCACTCTATCTTCACTTGGATGGCCTTTAAAAATGGCCTAAAAATTGCAGATGCTTTGCTCTTGAGAGGCATTCAGGTGCCTTCTACTTGTGCCGTTTGTTCTAATGCTAGAGAAACTCAAAATAATCTGTTTTTTGAATGTGATTACACCTTCAGTATCCTCAAGAAAATTTTTCCTACTATGGGAAATATGCTCCTAAGGCCTACCCTATTGCAAACATTTAACAGCATTGATGAATGGAATATTGATAACAACAGGAAAATTTATTGTTTTCTGCTCCTCTGTGCTATCGTCTACTATATCTGGAGGGCCAAAAATGACAGAGTTTTTGGAAATTC